GTGCTATGAATAGCTTTCTTTTATTTCTTGTTATCCTGCCCTTGCAATTCAAAGGTAACCATTGTTAAAAACATCACACCCAAGTTGCATCTGTCCTCATGTTTTAGTCTTACATGACTGAAATACTTTCTGAGATGAGTCGGTGATCACCATGCTTAAAATACACAGATGAACTCTACGTGCAGGAGAGCTGGTACCTACTTAAACTGTGGAAGAATAAATAACATGGATTTTTAAACACATAAAAGAAGAAAATATGGTTTATTGTTTTTAGCTTAAGAGGGGAAGAAAGAATAGCGTGGAACATTGCCTGTTAATTTGGTCCCTGGAACAGCAGAAGCGCATGGCATTAACCTTTGGGTTATTAATATGTTGATGGAGGAAAGGATTAAGAAAAGGGCAGGTTGTGGGACAGAAATGGCACAAAAGGCTGGAGACAAATAATCTTGTATTGACTCCAGTTCCAAAAAATGGGTTCAAGGCAGAAATTAGAGCCTTGCCAAAGGTGGTTCTGTGGCCGGATGAAGTAAATTCCGAACCGAGGTTCTTCCTCTGCCCTGGGATTGGTGAAGCAGGTATTTGAGCTGTTATTTTACTTGACTAAGTATAAATCAAACTTTGAGGCTAGTGCTTTACTGGGAAGACAGTGATAATGTGCTATCTCAGAGCACACAGAGTGTGAAGGCACATAAACTAATTCAATTTTCATTCCAAAATGTCATGCATGTCCCCACTGTCACTATGGTAAATTTTTTTTTTAATCTCCTGTCCTTTACTCTGCTAGCACTGTGATGATTTTAGCCATACTGCATGGGCTTCACTTCTGAACAGCAGCCTTGTGTTCCACCTTGGGGGACTGGGAAATGTTTTTCTCTATTCCATAGCCCATTTCCTTCTGGTTGTGGGTGCCCCTCTGGGAACTGATGTGGCAGGTGCTGAGAGCTTAGATCAAATATAGATCACTGTGTGGAAAATCTGAAGAGTACTCTTGATCCTTCTGTGAAAAACACTGTAGCTGTGCTGAAAATGGGATTAAACCGGCTAAAGATCATCATGAGGGGTCAACTTTTATCTCATTAAAGCCCCACTTTGTTTCTGCTACCAGTGGAAAGTCAGGGAGTATTCCCTGGCAGCAAGTGGTGCAAACAATAAAGCTGCACAGCAGGCCACCAGCCAGCAGCTCCAGGGTCCTAATCCTTGCTGATTTACCGTGACCTTGGGTGAGGCATTTCATTTCTGTCCACTTTCCTGTCCTGTAACCTAAACTTAACAATTTCAGAGGATACAGGAGTTAAAGAGCTATTAATGTTAAAGCACTTTGAAAATTAGATATAAGCACTATATGCATGCCAAGGTTTAATCCCTCTCAACTGAATTGTCTGGCTTGTGCAGAGAATGGAGGAGTTCTTACTGGGCTCCAAGGCAAGGAACGTGATGATGAGATGACCTCAGTCTGAGCAATCAGGTTTTTGGGCAATAACTCTCAGTGGAGTAATTCCCAGTTCTTTTGGAGAGGGGGAACACAAGCTGAGCTCATTAGCAGAGTGGGTGTGGGACTGGGAGAAAGGCAGGTTAGGAATGGTGCAAAGGGAATGAGAAATACACTGCTGGTCAGAGCTTGGATACATGGGGCAGTGGGAAAGAGATTGTGCTCAAACTTGGCAGAAGAATAGTTAAGCTAACAGGTTGGGCAGGGTGGATGAGCAGTGAAAACAGGAATGAGGTGCTACTGCCATTTTGACCAAACAGAGGTATTTAATGGTTTCGGTTATGTTTTGTTTGCTGTTGTTTTTCCTTTGAGATGCAGGGCTGATTGTCTTTCTCTTCGCTGTTCAAAACAAGCAGCACTTTCTAAGAAGTAAAGTTCTGTGTGATTTCAGCCTCTTTAAACAGCAGCATAAATCACCCTTAGATTGGGTTCTGCAGCCTGGCAGGCATGTGTGTGTCTGGAGTCTCCCATACCCACTGCGGGGTGTCCAGCTAATCAGGTCAGCAGGGTGGCAGTGCAGCCCTAAACACAGCTCCTGCTTTGTGGGTGCCTGGGGCTGGCAGTTCCAGTTATAACTCCTACACTGCTCAATTCCAAAGTCATTCAGTGGGGGTGTCATCCATAAAATAGATTTTATAGTAGTGCTTATAAAATAGACTTTATAGTAGTGGTAATACTTGCTTTGGTGCTTTGTGGTCAGCACACATAGGTATTGAGAACTGTAGCTTTTGTGGGCTCTTGGTGGCTTTTTAGTGTGGCGTGACACTGTTGTGGAGAGAGGAAAATGCATAAACACTTCTATGTCATGAAAAAAACAGTTGGTTAATGGTTATTGATGGATAGCAAATGCTCTGATTTACGACAGAACAAGTCAGCAGAGCATGGAGTCTTACAAAACACATGGGACAGGTTGAGTAAGCTCAGAGCCTGCACTGGTTGGCAAGCTGGTGGAGTACAGATAATCCCAGTTAAATATGCCTAATTGTTATCCTTATGTATACATCTTCCATTGCTCAGGATCATGTTGCAATTGTCATCTAGTGGCAATTAGAAGCACACTGTCATGCTACCAGAATTGCAATGTTTCTCTTAGGGGTAGGTGGTTTTGTCAGTGCTGTGCAATTTTTACCAGTGTGTAGTAGCATAATTTTTTCTTGTAATGTATGTAATGCTGCCCAGTCAGCACTACCCACTATTTCTACAACACTCCCCAGTCATGTGCTGACCCGATGACAGTCATGTCATAGCACTAGTTTGGGTATTGTAAAAAAAAAAATAAATAAAAAAAATCAGCTACTTGGGGCACTTGCTTTGTCATAAAAATTTGTTGTAACAGTAGAAAACTCCTTCAGACTGAATGAAAGTCCAAGATGTAACATCAGGCTTTAAACCCACTCCTTAGGCTCCACTGAGGAACATCTGAGGCCATTTGTAATATGCATTTTATATCTTAAATATGTAGTATGAGTACAGTTTGTGAGAGCATTGCTGCTTTGGACACCTGTCCTACTTCACCTTCAAGAGCTGCGTTCAGACAAGGCTTTGTTCCCCCTTGCCCAGTCCCCTGGGGGTGCCCAGGTGGACCTATGCCTCTGAGCTGGGGTTTTGCTGCTGGGTCAGTGTACCACACAGTAGTTCATTCAGATGCCTTGTTGTCCATCTTGTGGTGTTGGTAGCATTGCCACCAAAAGCTTTGCTCCTCTGCTGAGGTGGATGTGGGTGAGTTTACAGGTGCCAGATCTTGGCAGTTGGGAGCTCTTGGGTTGAAGAAATGGGCTGAGCAGTGATGGAGACATTCAGCTCCAACAAGTGACGGGAGGTCCTTGGTCTGGGGTTGCACCACTGGATGCAAACCTCCCCTCTCCTCTTGCCGTGGCCTCTCACTGGAGCAGCTCCTGGTGTGTGGTGTCTCCAGCTGTAGATGACTAAATGAAGCTGTGTGGGCTGCTGGCTGTCCGGCCAGCCTGGCCCTGCTATCTCTTCCCATAAACACTGGAGCCTTTGTCTCTGGCCTTATCATGGCCCTGCCATCACAGAGCCTTTCTGTGCTCTCCTCCCAGCTCAGGCCTCTGTGTTCAGGGGGCTTTTCTTCAGCTGCTCTTTGTCTCCCGGTGTTTATTGTGCCTGCTGCAGTGTGTTTGTTTGGGAGAGAGGAGGAGGGGCTCCTGTTTGTCTGGGGTTTATAAACCTAGTGCATTCCTCAAAAGAGATGCTGAGCAAACTGGGTGGTGTTAATATTAACCCTTCACTGCCCTGAGTTGCTGAGAGAAATGTCCTCCACGTGTGACAAACTCTTTGGGGGGTTGATGAAGTTGATTGGTGTTAGGGCACTAGCCTTTGCTCTGCCCTTAGATTTTCTGTGAATGCTGCACATGTGTATCAGCAAAGAGAGCCTCCCAAACACTGGGAGGTGTGATTGAGTCTAGGATTTCCCCCCAGAGTGTTTCTGGAGTTTGTTTTTATTGCAAACACTAGCTCACTAGCCCTTTCTGTTTGCATAACTGGCCCTTGCATCCTGTTTATGTGGCTACATCAGGCAGGATCTCTTCATTGTACCATATCCCAAAAGTTTATGGCTCTGTATTTAGGGTTTTTCCTTTTGAGTAAGGTCCTGAAAGCAGGAATATGTGAAATTCCTAGTATTGCCACTTGTAGTGGCATATAATTCCTCCCCTTTGAACCAGCTGCTTTTCTGTAACAGACTTGCTAATATTTTCATGGCTCTTAGTGTTCCTTCAGTACCCATGGGCCTATATTCTGAAAGAGAGCTTGGGAAGGTGATAGTTAGCAACTCCAAAACTTTCTTTCCCTTGTAACCACATGATACTTGGCATTAAATTGATTGGTGGGGAAAAAAAACAACCAAACAGAACAGCATCAACCTCCTTTTGCTCTTCCTCCATGAGAGGATGGGAATTTGAAACATGGAAAAATCTCTCATCCATCTCTGCAAAAAGCTGCAGCAACACAATTGTCTTAGTGTTAGAAGTGCCAGGAGAGTTTTGTATTTCACTGGAGCTGCAGTCAGCATAAATGTTTCAGACCTTTTTTATGATGATCTGCGTAAACTGAGCATGATGCAAATACCTTAGTTTTATGTGTGATTAATTACTCGTGTGATTTAAAAATACTCTTTTCTCAAAGATTACCTATTTTCTGAAGTTACTGAACTCCTCAGAAGTTGAGGAGTCAATGACGTAAAGATTTTTTTAATATTAAAATAATATCCTGGCATTGAGTTCCTGGCTGCAGTTCATGTCATGCAGCATCTACATATTCTATTTTCACATTGGTAAAAAGTTCCATGGATCGTGTTCCTTTGCAGGGGGTGGGAAAGGAAGAGCTGCAAAATAATACAAGCCTTTGAAAGGTGAATCCACACAGTCATGACTAAACCTATTCAAACACTCAGGTGTTTTTTTCCAGGACTGCTCTAGGCTCTAGCATTGTTGTCTTGTGACTTGTTTTCTCCATGAACTCGCTCAGTTGGCCTCCTCTCTTTCTCTTCAAGGAACAGTTTCAGCTGCAAAGCGCACAGGGATTCCAGCACCCCGGGAAATATCATCATCGGTGTCCAGAGAGAGGGCTGTACTGCGTGGTCCAGCCAATACTAGGAAAACACAACCCAGCCCCACCTCTTCTGGTACACCAACTCCTACCAAACACGTGCGTCCCACCAGCAAGTCCAAGCAAGAGAATGAAACTGGTGACAGGGCTGTTCTGGAATCTCAGGTTAAGGAACTCCTGGCAGAAGCAAAGACAAAAGATTCTGAAATTACCAAACTCCGTTGTGAATTGAAGAAATGCAAAGAGAAAGCATCACTGAATATTGAAGGAATGGGAGCTTCCAACCAAATTTTAGAAACAGTATCACCTGTTGACATAGATCCATTAATACGGACCCTTCAGGAAAAAAACAGCACTTTTCAAAAAGAGCTCGCTAGCCTGGGAGAGGAAAACCGTGTCCTGAAAGAGAAATTGCTTTACCTAGAGAACTCCCCTATCTCGGACACAACAACAAGCAGTGGAGGTGACGGCAGCCTCCCAACCCCAACTACCCAAGAATCCAGTTTTGGAAGCCCATCAAAGAATGTGTTGAGAGGTGAAATGGAGGAGCAGAGGCAGCAGGTGAACGGGGCCGCGCTGCGCAATTCCGCCTCTTCCAGCAGCGACGTGACTAAAGCTTCCTTGTCACCTGATGTGTCTGATTTTGAACACATAGCAGATGTACCTTCCAGGCCAACGTCCTCCAACAGCAACCACTTCAAAAGTTCCAAATGCTCCACCACAGGAAGTTCTCCAAACAATATTAGTGACCTTTCTGTTGCATCTCTTACAGAGAGAATACAAAAGATGGAGGAGAATCACCACAGCACAGCAGAAGAATTGCAGGCCACTTTGCAGGAGCTGTCAGATCAACAGCAAATGGTGCAGGAGCTGACAGCAGAAAATGAGAAGCTAGTGGAAGAGAAAGCTCTCCTGGAGACTTCCTTTCGTCAACATAGAGATAGAGCTGAACAGCTGAGCCAAGAAAATGAGAAGCTAATGACTGTCCTCCAGGAGCGATCCAAGAATGAAGAAAGCAGAGCTCAGGAGGGGAAGGTGCTTGAACTGGAACAGAAATGTGCAGAAGTTCTTGAAAAAGCACAATTTGAAAGAGAGAAACTGCTCAATATTCAGCAACAGTTAACCAGCAGCCTACGGAGCTTGGAAAGGGAGCATCAAGATGCCCAGCAGGTGATTAAAAGCTTGAGAGAAGAAAATGAGAAGCTGCTTAAACTTCTGGAAGTGGAACAGCAGAACAGCAGCACAGTGACAAAAACTCTGGAGGACTGTAAAATTGCCTTAGAAGGTCTAAAAATTGAGAATGGCTCTCTTAAAACCCAGTTAGAGAGTGAGAAACAAAAGGCTGCAGAAATCAATGCTATGGGATGTACTAGTGACAACTCCGAGGTGCAGGAGATGCTCAAAGTAGCCCATGCAGAAAAGGATCAGTTGGAAGCATCCTGCACTGAGCTGAAACAAGAGCTGCTGAAGGCAAACAGTGAGCTAAAGCACATTCAGGGTCTGCTATCTAAGGTAAAGCAGTAACAGCTGTAAAACATAGTGGTTGTTTATCTGTCCTTCCATAAACAGGGACTTGTTGGCCTTTAGATTGTTCCTGAGCCATTGATTGTAAGTTTCCAGGATTTCAATGGCATTGATTAGTTTTGAATGGAAGCTGTGGTTGTGTGGTGTGTGTTTCTGCTGCAATATGCAAATTTTCCCAAGAACAACTGTTAGCATGACTGTGTTTATAAATTCAAAACTAATTTCCTCTAATATCTTCTGCAGAATTTATTAATTTGGGTAAACAGAATTGTGTTTATCAAATTTGCAGCAAAGAACAGATCAATTAAAAAAATTACTTTGATACTATGTGAACAAATATTAGTGAAAATCACTTAGTAATCCAGATGAAGGGAAGGGCATGAGTAGTTAGCAACGAATATTAAATTCTGAATAATTATTAATGATGAATTGGTACTGAACTATGGGTGTCATTGGTCATGAGGCCACAGGGATGTGAGCTAATGCTCAGAGAAGCTGGTATTTACAGCAGCATGACTAATGATGCATGGTCAAGCTCCTGATGAGATCATTTTCATCAAACTAAAATCTTTTTACAAAACTGAGTAGTATTCTGTTTTGGGATGGGTAAAATAATGGCCAAAAATTGTTCTTCATTAAATACTTTTTTTCTCGGTCTCATTTGATAGGCTCCAAGCAAGCTTAAGTCACTTGCTGTTTTTGTTTTTCCATGTGATTCTGGATGTTCAGAAGAGCTGCAATGTGAAGCATCATAGAACAGGTGTTCATAAATCAGGAGGCGGTGCTTAGGAAAGAGCGATAGTGTGTACCACCTTTCCTGTGTGGGGAAGGGATCTTGAGACCACAAGTAAAATTGGCTAGTTGCAGAGGAAGAAAGCACTGCCAAAAAGAACCTCCATGATTTGAGTGATTTAGAAAATCCAGATGTCCTTTCAGCTTCACTAGGTGACCACAGCAAATGGAGTTAGTTGAGGAAGCTCCCAAGTACTCACTGGAGCTACGGTTTCTGAAGTATAAATGAAAAACTGCTGAGTGCTCAGACTCTGTACCAAACTTTTATTGCTTGGTTTGGAAACCACACATTTCCTCTTTTTTACTCTTCCTTTCCCTCAAATTAAGCTGTTTGGAATCATTGGCTATTTGTGACACCCAAACAAGACCACAGGCTTCTGTAAGGCTGCCCTTCAGTCAGGCTGTGCCAATGCTGCTCATGGAACTGGCAGCCTACACCTTGCTTTTCCAGAGCTTGCTCCTACTCTGAGATCTCCCCCCAAACCTGGAAGCACTGATCTGTGGGCCTGAGCCAACAAACCAAAGTGCAGCAGGTTTCCCATTCAGTAATTCCAGATGTCCTATATCCAGAAATACTTACCTGCAGTAGCTTGCTCTGCTGGGTATGTTTTCACAATCAATTGAAAATGCACATGGTAAAAGCATAAAAATTATTAGTGTGGATGAACTGATCATCATCTTGGCAGTGATACCACTCTCAGAATGTGATACACAAATACATGTGGAGCTTTCCAGGAGTACAATTCCTTCCTGATTATTACCTGCAGCGATTATAGTCACCATACAGAAAATCTAATTTCCTTCCTTGCCTCTTGTTTTATTATCTTTATGGCTAGGGAAGAAGACTCATTCATGGCTCATCTGTGATTCCTGAAACTCTCTCATCAGCATTGAAACTCATACAATGATTAAATCATAGGTTCCATTCTGAAGTCCTTGAGATGCCCAGTGAATTATCTAATGAGAAAGAAATTAAGAAATGTAGACAGACTTGCAGCTTTTTCTCTCTTCCAGGCTGAGCATGAGTGTGGTCAGCTGAAGGAGGTGTGTGACAGGCAGGCTGAGCAGCTGAGCAGGACCAGCCAGAAGCTGCAGGAAAAAACATCAGAGAATGAAGCAGACATCAAAAACCTGAAAGAGACTATTTTTGAGTTGGAGGACCAGGTGGAGCAACATCGTGCAATAAAACTTCACAATAACCAGCTCATCAGTGACCTAGAAAGTAGGTGGAGCTGGGGGGGAAAAAAAAAGGGATTTAAGTGAATTTATTCATAGGGCTGAGTTATGGCTGCAACAGGGAGAAGGAAGCTTGTCTTGATATGACAAGAGCCCCACCTTAGAAGTGTTCCCATTGTGGCCAGTCCTTTCTGTTCATGCACAGAAGTCGCGTTTTTAACAGTTAGTGCTAGAGAAATACTATTAGAGACAGTCTCCAAGCCTCTATTGCCCGTTCTAGAGACTGGAATGACTGGCCTTTTAAAGAGGTTCCAGGGAGGAGCTCCCCAAGAGCAGTGCTGGCAAGAGCTCTCCAGGAGAGGTGCTGTGGGGGGGAAGCTGCCCCCCGCTGGCAGAAGGGGAACGTTGCACTTACCAGAGAGACCCGCTGCTCCAGGGGGGTGTATAAAGTGAACCTACACGTGCCATTCTCTAGATTTGCAAGTCTGATTTAACGCCTCAAAATAATTACCTATTTCAGAGATGTTTGAGTAGCAAATCTACTGTTGATTCCATTTCTGATCTATTGACAGAGCATCCTTGTTTCAGTTTAGTCTGTTTAGCAGCATTGCTAGAAGCAAAACCAAATAGGCTGCCCTGCCCTCCCCATTTTTACTTTTCACCCTTTGTGTTTCATAATATTTTCCCTTTTTTACTGTTCCTAGGTAAAGCAATGAAGCTGGAAGAACAAAAACAAGATGCAGAGAGGCAGCTGAAGGCTCTGACTAAGCAAATGAAGGTAAGGGTTAGATCCCATGACAAAACCAAGCTGAGCTTTGATTGCAATATTAGATTAGAGAGAAGTATTGTGCTTTTCTAGAACAATTGCAGAAAGGTCTTTCTACATCCTTTCATTTTTCATTCTCCTATTTCTAGCTGTTTCTTTGCTTGTGAAGGAAAAATATAATACATTCTCAGCAAATTACTTTTGCTTTTTCTACCTGTGAACTTCTACTTTGGAACAGCTGTTCCTTTGTGAATCATGAGTAGCAATCGGCTCTTTTCAGCACCAGTGCTTGTAGTAGCATCACAAAGCTGATCAATTACTATAGGAAGAACTTTGTAGTTGTACTGGAATGGAGAGCTTAGCATCAGTTTCTTCTTTGGCAATCTCACTGGTACAGTGTAAAAAGACAAGTGTTCAGTTTGGCCTCAGCATCATCTTGAAATTGTGGTGAAATCCTGGTCACTTGTGACCACTGAAAGAGAGATCAGTAACTAAGTGCTCAGCTCAAGCAGGTGCATCTTCACAGCAGTTTGAAGCCCTAATTGCTTTTTCTAGGAAGATGCAGAAGAGTGGAGACGTTTTCAAGCTGATCTCCAGACTGCAGTGGTTGTAGCCAATGACATTAAGTGTGAAGCCCAGCAGGAGCTCCGGTTGGTAAAGAGGAAGCTTCAGGAGGAAGAGGAGAAGAGTGCTAGACTGCAGAAGGAGTTGGATGAAGTGAAGGGCAGCAACAGGTTGGTTACTTACAAAGGCCTAGATCTGATCTCTGTGACTTCTAACATGCATGCAAACAGTGCTTTGTCAATAACTATTCATTGGCTTGGATGTGCACGTTGTCTGTTTTTAACTTTTCTGACAGATTTTGTGTCTCTTATTCTGAGATGTTTCTGTTTTTTCTTTTTTAACTGTCTGGTTCTGTCAACTGGGCCATGTATGTTTTAATCAGCAGATATTAAGTAACAGCAATTGCCAATATCCTCTGATAGCTTTGTTCTCAGGTATTCCACTGTGTTTTATTGCCTTCAAAACCCTCTGTGCAGCTGTATTAAACCATCTGTGGAAAGATTGGTTGTTACATAAACATTCAGTGGGTTATCCAGAAAAGAACTAGTTAACCTGAGAGGAGTCAAGGAACTGTAGATGTTCAACTTAAAATAAGGACTAGCTGGACTTCTGTTCTCTGAGTTTGATACATGTTGACTGAGTGATCAATGCAAGTACTAGGATTCCTCATCTCCTGTCCTTAGTTTGAAACCTGTTATGTGATTAGGTGTATTAAATGGTCTGGACTGGGGCTTGGGTTAGTATTTAGCCCAGAAGTGCCTGCATGTGGACCCACCTATAAAACAATGGATGTAGTCTCAGTGGTTGGAGGGGAAACAGTGACTGGGAACCATTCAGAGATACACTCCAGCATGATAAGCTGCTTATGTGGGGCTTTCCTCTGTGGGAGCATGGTAAGAACAAAAGTGACTTGTACAATTGAACCTGGAGCCAGTACAGACAGATGCCTCACAATGTGGCTTTTATGCAGTGCATGACTTCTATGTACCACATTTCATGGCAAAAATCAGACTACAATTGAAGTACTAAATAAGAAGAAATGGAAAACAAGATGTATTAGAAGGAAGGAACAACATTTCTAAAAAAGACAGTGCTCAGCTCTTCTTTGCATTGACAAAAGCAGAGCTGCAGTGATGAAAATGTGTACAGGGGAAACATGAACAGTGGGACTGCTTACCAAAAACGTGTGCCAAATGAATTTTGCTCCTTTAGATTTTTCCACTTAATCTCTTTCCTAGTAGATTCATGGCCACTGGTAGAATAGCTACAGGAACATAGTGAATCCTGTCACTTCTTCCAAGTGGAATAACAGTCCAGCTACATGTTGCATGTATTTACTCACTGATTTGCACAAGTTTCCACAGCAGCTGTACAGTAGATGAGATGGGAGGGCCCTTGTGTGGACGTGTACGGATTATAATTGTGGATTGAAGAAACAGAAGTACTTCTTTTCAGAAAAATAAAGGAATGTGTTTAAGCTCCAGTTTGATTATCAGAGTCCCCAGTGGATGCAAAGAAAAGCTATTACAGATTATGTATTCAGACAAAATGATTACCAGACATTACTTAAGTTCTGGGCTCTGTTTCCATTCCTAATTTGTTCTTAATGAAATTTCTCTTGTTTAAAGTGGGGATGTATATTTGAGGACAGGAATAATGTACTTGCAGTTTCCCCTCTTTAGTCTTTTAGTTTTTAATCTGAAGATGTGCTTGATAATACTTAAACTAAATAGAAGAAAACCAGCTAATTTGCAAACTAGGCTACTTATCCTCCATGTATAAGGAACATGGCTACATTGTCAACTCTTTGGCAAAGGAGCCCGAGCTACAAATACTGCTTTTAAAATTAGCCCCTAGAACCCATACATAGGTGGTTTCAGAGGAGATATTCAGACACAATTAATTAAGTCAGTTTTGGCATTTGTCTCTCCCTCTTTCACACACACATCTTTGCGTCTGTCTTTGTGTCATGTTGACTTATCTGTAGAGCTTGCTCTGAGTATTACATTGGTCATGGAGCCAGAGATCCTGTCTGCAGTGGGTGATAGTTACTGACTTTCAAAGGCAGGTGTTGAGACCAAATTTTGCATCTGTCAGTTTAACTGATTTGACTCGCAGTGTCTATGCAAAGAGTGCAAAATTCCTGTACTGAATGGTGTGGAGAAGATGATGAAGTTTATGTAAGTGATTGTCTAAACAAACCAGGGATCAACAGCTAAGCACTGAAATTTTAAACCTGTACTGACCTGTATAACACATTCTTCAAGTTGCCAAAGCTCCTAAAGAGAGCCAGGTCTACACTTCCAGTTATTTTTGCATTCCCCAGGTCTCTGTCCTCCCCAGCAGCTTGGCTTCTTTCACCCAGAAAGTTCTGGGAAGATTCTCATCCTTACTTTGTCATCTTTCACAGATGCTGCAGCTCAGAATCAGCAGCAGAGTCTGGTACCTGCCATGACACCTAATGCATGCTCAGCCCTGTGGGGGAACAGTTTGTAGCATGATACCGTAACACAGTCTATAAAGAATTCCTCAGATTTGCTAATGCTGAGCAGCTGTGCACCCAGCTGAATATCTGACACTCCCTAGTGGAAGTTTTCTGTCTCATTTTTAAGCTCTGATTGGAAAATGTACCTTCCAAGTAGCTTGCTGCTCAAAGGTGGGGGTTTTTTTGGCAAAATCTCAGCCATCTCTTGAGGGTCATTAGACTCCACCTCATAAATTGATCTAGAAGCCAATTTATCTCCTACGACATCCTGTCATTTTAATGTTTGCCTGTGGCTGCCTGAGTTCCTGCCTCCGAGTTTGATTTCTCCGTTACGTTCTTCTAAGCAGACAAAAAGTCATTTTTGGTTCAGGAACAGCCAAAGAACTTGCAGAAAAAATCCTGATGTGGTCATCAGAGTTCATCTGAATGAAGGTAAGAGCCTCCCAAAGGCATCTTTAACACAGAATAAGTGTCTAATTCTATGACTAAGAATGTTGGGGGGAGGTTGGACCAGCATCAAACAAATGGAATAAGGAAGAGAGGAGTTAACTTGTCCCAAGTTAGTACTGATTGAAACCTGCAAATTAATTAACCCATGTTTGAGACAGTCTTAATGAGATTTTACATACTAATTAATGTTATTTCTCTGCATTAAATGCAAAAGCTTACAAACCACTGTTGTATAACTGTCTCCTCACAGGTGGTGGAAACTGAAATGATGTAGTCTCCATCCTTGGAGGTTTTCAAGATCAGACAGGATAAGACCCTGTGTAACCTGGTCTGACCTCATAGCTGATTCACCTTTGACAGGTGGCTTTCTGAGGTCCCTTCCAACCTGAATTATCCAATAATCCTGTAGCAAGTTTCAACTTTTCAAAACACTGACCTTAGAAATAAATTAATTTTTGTAGCTGTTTTAGGATCAAATATTTAAGTGGTATATTGTGGAATATATGTATCCATATATATTGGATTTGTAACAAGGGAAGAAAGCTAGCAGAAAATACCCAAATTATGGACAGCTCTTTTTGCCTTCACTACACACCTTTTTCCAAGCCTTTCTGGCAATACTCTTCAGCGGCAGTGAAAGTTTCAAGGTCTTGCTTGAACGTTTTCCCTTCAAGTTCCCCAAATCATTTTGGCACTACAACATCTTGTGCCTTGAACCAAGAACATGGAGGAAAGACAGTTGGGCTGCTAGGAGTACTCAGAAAACAGAGTATCTGTAATGAAATTAGTGACTTCTTAGAATAATAAAAAAATTAACCAAATATTCAAACAGAAGCCTAAAGTGAAGATTGTGATTTACCCCACTAATTTGCTTCTGCTCTTCCTCCTGAAGTCTCAGTGCCACAGCATGGCAGTGTTACATGCTTTTTCTCCTGGAAACAAGCTTGTACTCTGTGTCTATTAAACCCTGCTGTCAGTCTGTGTGTGCTGATGTGCTGCTCATTTGTGCCTGTGTTCTGCAGCTGTTCTGTCTTACAGAGGTTTGCTAGTTCATTTTGCTCTCCAAGTAAGCAAACTGGAATGTCAGAGCAGCATCCTTGGGGTCCTGTTTGTTTACTGTAGTTAGTGACTCCTCAGAGTTGGTCTGTTGGGGGTTTTTTTGGGTTTTCTTTGTTTGTGATTGGAGTTTTTTTGCACTGGATGGAGATTACCCCATCTGCTTTGGTGTGAAGACCCTGAAAAAGAAACTTGGCGATTGAGCAGCTCCAGTTGCCTGGACAGGTTCATTTACCCTTTTTGAATTAGCAGTCCTAACTGATTAGAGGAGAGGAAAGCCAGGAACACTACTGTCCCTGTTTTGAAATGGGTTCTCTGGCTTTAAATTCTTAATTTCTTCCAATCTGAGCAACAAAGATTTTTTTTTTTTTGTATGGTGGTTTTGCCCCCCATGTCCTAAAGTTAGTGGGGTGCACCCCTGAGCTCCTGGGGTGCTAGAGCACTCCTCCCACTGTCCTAGCAGCACCATCAGCATTATCCTCTCCCCTTTATTTAGTGGTGATGGGATGATTAACTGTAAAACAGAGCTGTACCTCAGGGTGGCCATTGGATTGCTGCTTGTAGCTCCCCCAATTGTTGTCTCTATTTCCACAGGTGCCTGATCTCCACCAGCTAACACAGCCCTGAGTGGATGCATATCCAGGCCTGTGAGACGCGTCAGGACGTACCTTCAACTTGCAGCTGAAAAAGGGAAGTCTCAATTTGAGAAAGCACCTCCAGGTTTTTTATGCCCTGCAGAAGTCAAATGTATCACAAAGTGTGAATGCTGCTCAGGTCCACCTCCTCCCCATGGGCAAGATCCCATTCCTTTGTTCCAGAAGGCTTCTCTCTTCAGAAGACTCCATGAGGCGGAAAAAGTTCTGGATTAGTCTAAAGCCAACTAGGCCACAGGAAGTAATCACAGAGATTTTGGGGAACTGAAATAACTGAGAGTTTTTTTGAGGAATGGGGATATTTGTCCTGAAACAGAAATTCATACGTGCCATTTTATGCTGAAGCAAAAAATAAAACTGAGTGTGTATGTTTAATTTGTAAAATCCAATGTACATACACATGGAGTTCTCCATATGGAATTATATTCATCAGTGTGTGACTAAATACAGGTATGAATACAGATCAGTGTGTACACACACAGACTCAAGTGATAGGGTACTGAAGTCTAGCAGGAAAACTGAATAGAAACATGAAGGCATTTATTCAATATAATCTGCTCTGGTGATTTAGGATTTCTGATAATGCATTGACAAGGCACTCACCACTGGGTGGCATGTCTGACTCGCTGTGTGCTGGGAAGCAGGGTGTGCCTGAGGAGCGTGTCCTGCCATGGCTCTCCCAGAGGATGTCCCATGTCAGCTTTTTCCTGACTGTGAGAGCTGCAGATAAGAGACATCAGAAGGCAAAGAAATTGACACATCAAGCCCCTAGTAAATATCCTCTCACAAAGGAGTCTTTCTCGTGCACTTAACTCAGGTGAAGTATATGATGATCAGGGAAAACTTGCTGAAGTCCAGCTTTGCAACTGGAGACACCTGGAGAGAGCTTTCCTGGGATGCTAAGGAGAAACTCGGACACCACCGTCTTTACCAGAAAATCATCAGGATTCATTCCAGGACTGGAATTTCATGTTTTGGCTGTGAGATTCCCAGCCTTTTCTCCTGGATGTGAAGACATAGCAGGGCCTGGTCTCAGAGCAGGCTGAGCCTGTAGAGAATTCTGCAGGATGTCCTGGCTTTGGCATGGCCTTCACCTCTGTGCCGTGCTACTGGCGTGTCTGCATATATGCACACTTGTGTTGCCTTTCTTCTTTGTGCTGGCAGCTGTTGAATGTTGGTTTTTATCTTTAAGAAATATAAATTGAAGTGCCAAATAAATGTTTAAGTGTCTGGAATTGTCTGCTGCCTGCCCTTGGCCTCTCTTCTGTTCTGTGCCTCAGTAGCTGTGTCTTCCCTCTCTGTGTACCTTGGAGCTCAGGAGAAATCACAACAATGACAGGAACTGTGGCAGAGATGGCAGAGTAATTCTGAAAAGATGGTTCTGTGGTCCTGGGCCACCTGAAACAAAGAGGTCATTGGAGCAGTTTAAAAATTACACAAACACATGAAAGCTGCTGTTGCCAAAATCCATCCAGTAAGCTCAGAAAGACTTGCACTTTGTTGGCTGTTTGTTACCCACATACCTCAAACCTGGAAGACAAGGAGACTAACTTGCCATTAGAGAAATACTGGCTGCATCTACTTCTCTCAGCAATGACTGTATGAAACTAGGCAGTGGTTTTGTGAAAAGGACTGCACATTTTAATTCCTTGTGGCTAAAGTGCTCTGCTTCCTCCTGGAGCTGCTCCACTTCAGCCAGCTGCACTTGCAGCATTGATCTGTGGAAACCATTCATTCTTGTTTCAAGGAAAGCATACAGCAGTAGATGACATTTCGTTCAGATCCATCCTCTTTGTAGTAGGGCTTGGTTGGTTGTCTCAGATGGCCTAAGCTGTGCTAAACTGAATAAATTCTGTGCAACGGAGTTGGTTTTAGTTTGAAGTTATGGCTGCTTAATATTGCAAAGCCATGTTCTCCTATACTGTCCCCTTGAATTAGCTTGCTACTATGAGTTAAGCACTTACTCTTCCACTTCTCTCTTAAGAAACCCTTATGTGCACACACCTGCACCCCCTTAGCTTTAGAAATGGAAGGTACCAAGTGTCATAACTGTCCATTGCTGGTTGCTGGCATGTGTGGGTTTAGCTGAAGCAAATAGATCTCAGCACTATTCTTCCTACTCAAGTTTGCAGCATGAGAGGCCTCAGCTTTCTGATATGATTGTATTTGATCTAGGAGGTTGTTTCAGAGAGCATTAGAAGGCTATTACAAATAGACAAGATTACAGGAAGCATTTGAAGGAAATTGGAACCGGTAGTAGCCCCAGCACTTGAATCTCCATAATTACTCTGTACAATGGCAAGGTAATGGCATGTGATGTCTCAACTGACTGTCCTGTGGCATGGCAAAAGGGCTGCTCTAGTCACTCTATTTATCATGTTTGTGTCCCTTTGCAGTCAAAGGCTAGTTGAAGATTAGTCTGTGAGGTTTGAGCTGTGCTCAGAGTTAAATCCCAACCAATGGAGCAGTGGGTGCCTAGAGATGCCTCTGGCTTGCTTCATTCTCAAGATGTTCTGTGTTTAGTATTCCTTTCTCTTACTCTGATAATACTCCACAAACCTTGTGTGTCCCCTTGTTACCTGAATAACCAGCCAAAACTCTGGCATAGTGCCCTATATAATTCTTGAAATAATGTGATGTGTAATGGGTTGCACTGAGTGGCTTGGCATCATGAAGCAAAAATCTGTCCTTCCTCCATATTTTCCTAGATGCAGGACTCTTTAGCTGGTGTGTTTTCACATGACACGAGTGCAGGTGCTATCACCTCTTGCTTTGTTGTTTATGAAGCCACAGAAGAAAAAGTGAAGGGTAGAACTTAATGCTGGTGAGCAAAACACTGGCTTCCTCAGAGCTCAGTGGATCTTTCCCAATCTGCCTTTCCTTCTGAGTGGATTAAATGGAGAAGGGAACTGAAATGGCTTTTTCTCTAGCCATGTGCCTCTGCAGCCTCCCCTGGCACACCAAGGAGCTTGAATGAATTAGCAAAGAAATAACCAATGTCTGCTTAAAGACAGCACCTCCTTAAGCTCTGCCAAAAATAGAAACTTGAGTCACTCTTATTCTCTTATTCATTTATACTCTTTATGCCCTTACATTTTGTAGATTGTGGTGCCAAAAAGAAAGAGGCTTCTATTTTTAGCTCAGCAGAAGTTGTTCAGCCCTACAGGCACTTTCTGGATGGAATCCTCCAGCTGCCTAGGGGAGTAATTTCTGATGTTGTGTTTGTGTAGCTCTGGGTGCCTACAGTACTGAACAGCAGGGAAAGTGGTGATACTTCAGAACCTGGAGATCAGCACACATTTCTCAAGCAGCAAGGAGATGAGGAAAGTAATGTATAAATACCCTCTTTTTACATGATCAGACTTTCTCTAATTGCAGCTTTCCTAAACTAAAGCTGAGCAATTCAATTACACTTGGAGCCTACCTGGGAGCTGCAGGTAAGTACAGTGTCTGTGCAAGGCAGTGTCAGGCACAGCTGTAAAATGCATGAGTAGATGAGATGGTTGGGTTGAATGATGACATTTGCTGTTAACCACAGCTGTGGCCTTTCCTGTACTAACTCCTGTAAGTCCAACACCTAATCTTCAAAATTTCTGCTCCACGAAGTAACTTGATGATCCTTCCTGTTAAAATATGAGCTTTATTTCGAGTTTGTCTGTCTTCATTCCAGCCATTGAATGTTGATATTGTATCTGTTAGGATGAAGCACTTAACAGTTTTATTCCACTTATAACTGCTTGTGGAGTGTAACTGAGGGTTTAATTGTTCAGCAGATGTCCTTGATGAGCTGTAAGAGCTACATTTCCCAAGGTTTTCATTCTGAAGTATATTTTTTGGGTTTAATTGTTATGGATCTCACCTGAGCCCTGTCCAATTACTTATTTTATTTTCAGTTGTGGTCTTTTAACTGGTAATAATTACTTTAGTAATGGCCATGCCAGTTGGAAACATAGAGGGCAAAATAACATCTTTCTCCTTGGTTACTTGTTATACACTGAGGACCCCAGTAGCCCCTTGGCCCCTGTGCTGTGTTGAAAGCCCTTCTTCAGGTGATTATCAGTGAGAACTCACAAATTTCATCAAACTGGTTTTTTCTGTGGTAATCCTCCATCCTATGTGTGGATGAGGAATGAGACAATATGGTTAACACCACAGAAAAGTTGGTTATACTCAATGATGTGATGTTTGCCAGACACTGCAAGAAAGGAACATGAACATTTTGACCAGTGGTCCCTGTTCTGGGCATGACAGTAAAAAATGTGCTTCGTTGGGTTTGCCTTTTTACACAGAAAGACCTTTAATCTCTGCTTGCAGTTCCTTTTGCCCCTGACTTTGATCTGGTTTCTGCTTTGCAGGCTGACAGCTGAAGAGGTGGAATCTCTAGAGGCTGATACAACCAACCGCTGGCAGGGAGTCTGCATCAGCAGAGCATCTCCCACACCATCAGAATCTGCAGCCACTGTGAAATCACTGATCAAATCCTTTGACTTAGGATGCTCAGGTATTTGAACACAGTCTATTGTAGTAAAAAACCACCACATTTCTGGCAGAGAGACAGGTCATTTTTGCCACTTTGTGCTGCTTCTTGCTTCTTAATGAATACTTGGTGTCTGTGCTTGATACATGCTGCCTGTGGAATGTCATTACACCAGTGGTTCCCTGTTCTGACAAGAGTGAGATAGTTTGAAGTGCAAATGTTTCCATGCTTTTTCCTTGCAGGTAGCACTGGACAAAATATCACAGTTCACAAAGTCCCCAGGAGCCCTCTAAGTGGAATTCCAGTGAGGACAGCCCCAGCAGCTGCTGTTTCCCCCATGCAGGTACCAGGACCCCTTTCCATCCTGATAGTTTTAAAATGGGTAGATGCAGTGTTTGCTACAGCATGAGAGCCCCAGCAGGCCAACAGGCACATCTTGACAGGGGGAAGGGGAAACTCATCTGTTTATTTGCTGTGAAACATCAAATGCTGTAGTACTAACAAAAAGGATCAAAGTGAGTTTGTCTTTGACCTCAGCTTAGAGGTCTCAGTGGACGGATGTGAACTCTTTGGAATACAATTCTGAACTTTTGTAACTGTTGACCCAAAAGTGCGTTTTGATTATCAAGAGTGAGCTACAAGAAACATCAAACTGAACTAGGTAGCTGGTGTGTGAATTGAGAGACATGGGATAAGAAGTTAAGATGCATGCACACAGTTACCCAGTGAGTTCATACAGTGCTGACTGAAGAGCTCTTCCAGTTAGTGGGTTTTTCCCACTGCACAAGGTCATGATATCTGCATTATGTCACTGCACCTGTCAGCTTTCTGTTAGCAATTTTCAAATCTGTGGTGCAATGATATTGGAAACATTGTGATGTGAGTGATGGGGAAGCAAATGCACTGTGCTTCCTCATTTCCACATGTGCTGAAAGTGGCACACCAGCAGACTGCTGACCTTCCTAGGCTAGAGAAGACATTCTTTGCTTTTTGACTGGATGGTCACTGGGCTTAAAACAGGGTATTACCCCTCTAGGTAGAAAGCAGTTAGTAGGCTGGGGTGTTTAGGTGAATGTTCTGAAGAATCAAGTGACTTTGAAAGACTGTAACAAATGTGTGAGCACATTTCCTTCAAAGATGCTGGGGCTGCATAGAACCATGAAATGGTTTGGGTTGGGAGGGACCTTGAAGATCATGTCCCCCCCTTAATGGGCCGGGACACCTCCCACTAGACCAGGTTGCTCAGCACCCTGTCCTGCCTGACCTTGAACACTGCCAGGGATGGGGCTTCCACAGCTTCCCTGGAAAGAATCCACCTGACTGATGATTCAGGGTGCTGGGGACAGAGGCAGGGGTAGGAACAGGCATTCTTACTTTGTGTTTGAGACACTAGATTATGTTTGGCAAGAGAAAAAATAGAAATGTGAAATAGCTCAGGAACCAATATATTACCAGCTAAAAATATTGTCTCTTGGCCCTTTTATGTTTCACAACCCTTTCTCCAGCTGCAGATGCAGCTGATACCTTGTTGAAAGGTCTCTGTATCCCTCCACCTGCTTTGTGATCTTGAGATAGCAGAAACATCTCTTCTTCTTGCCTATTTAAGCATGATGGCTAGTACTTTTTAATTACCTTTATATGTTTGTTATTTCACAGAGGCATTCTGTTTATAATAATGCCAAGCCAGCTAGTAAAGGTGTTGGGAGACATGCAGATCTTTCAGACCTTCCTCTTGCAGGTAAGTTGCAGCAAACATGCAAATGTTGCCTCTTTTTACCAGCCAATCTTGTCCTTAACTGTGGCCTCTGCCTGGGCCATTTTCCCTCTTCTCATATGGTCAAAGGAAACATCAAAAAGTGTCTTCAGAGTCTTTGTTTTAGAGAGCTTATTAATTTTGTTGTGCTTCCATTCCCATCTTGTTTGTAGCCAACTAAAAAATAGCTGATTTATTATGGTTTGCCAACACAAACTGGCCTTCTTTATTCCAAAGTATCCATGGCACCTCTCTAATCCATGCTGTGGAACTGGAGAGGATTGGATCTTGTTCAACATGTATGTATCTGGAACCAAGTCCAAAGCACTGTCTTTTGAGGGTTTATTTGTTTTTAAATTGAGCTTCATTTGAAATACATCAAACATTTCAGATACTGATGTGACTGTTGTAGGAGTAGTCATATTTGGTCTCAAAATAGTTTGTTTTGAGAGTTCTCAAGAGATACGTTTGTTTTTATTTCACACTTTGCTTTTGTTCTCTTGTCATTTAATATTCTTTTCTACCAGTGTTTTCTTCCCATTTTCCCTAGGGCCCTTTATTTTGATTATCTGGTCCTGAATGTAATTGTGGCATTGGAATCAAAGCTACTAACAGCAGATTATGGATTTTTTAAGGACAAATTAAATATTATATCCCCGTAGTGAAACTGCAGGGAGGGACAAAATAAAATCTGTCACACTTCTTCACTGGTAGACTGAATTTTCTGCAATAGTTTGCTAGTGCAGGAGAGAAATTAGAACATGACTTCATCTTTAGACTCTTCAGGTAATTCCATCCTTCAGAGATGAAAAGTTCCTGGATCAGAACAGGAAAACAGGTTAGAGGGTAGATGGCAGCATAAAAAAATAACATCCTGTCTATGCTACTGGCTTCTCCTTGCATGAGAGTTACCTACAGTGATCCTAAGCAGAACATTAGAACTTTTTAATCTCTACCAGTCTACTGTGGAGTGAAATAGTCTGGCAACTGTGTAATATAATGCTAGTCCTTAATAATAAATATCCCACTTCAGGCCATGGAAAATTACTGTTATTACCTATAGACAGTTGTTCTTTGAAAATCAACAGATACTTCATTAGCCATTGTATAGTAAAAAATTATGGTTGCTTATCTAACAAGTTCCTGTATTTACAGCTTCTCTTTGTACCTGAGTTTAATTTAGTTCCAATAATCCATAGCAAAGGCTTATTCACTACGAAGTTGTAATAGCTCTGGCTCCAATCTAAATAATCCTAGAAGGCAGTTGATCTAAGCCCTGTGCAAACAACACTGAATTAAAATATATCCCTAAGGAAATTCAGTGAAGTAGTCTCCATAATAATAATCTTCTGGCTGATTCCATCTGACCAGTACCACAGCAGGACTCTGTGATGTCCTTAATATGAACCAAATGTTACATCCTTGGAGAGGAGAATGGATTGCTTTGCAGAGGGAGCTGATCTTTGACCTATCATATTTGCATTTAGAATCAGAGCTTTGCTGGTTCTGTGATGGAGTTCCTAGCAGCCAGACATAAGTCAAAGGAGGTGTATTACTCATGCAAGTGAGACTCAGACAACAGAGCTGAGTGCTGTGAACTTACAGCACCTCAGGCACTGCTGTGTGATTCAAGCCAGTAACCACTGAGTATCCCTAAGCAGTGCAGGTCGTGCTCACAGATTGGGATTTTTCCTGAATCATGTTGCATATTTTTCATATTATTATTATCCTGTTTCTCTTTCTGAATTACTCCTAGTATGCCCTCATCTTCTCCCTCTTTTCTTCCCAGTTAGATGCTTCCAATAGCCTTTGTACCTATCTGGGATCCTTCCTTCTCCTTCCTTTCTCTGTACCGTGCATGAACACATCCTGAGTGGTTGGCACAGCACTTCCTAATTAGACCAATGTATTAGCCAGATCAGTTATGTTAATGACAATTTAATAGCACTTTTTTTTTTTTTTTGCTGTTCTTATAAACTAATGAGAAACCTACATTCCTCTTCATCATGCTCAGGTTTTGTTTATTCATGTGCCTTTTGCAGTAGATCTCTTTCTCTAAGCAGAATATTCTTAAGTTTAAAATGGTCCCAAGAAGCATTCATGGCTTGCCTGATTGGCATGGCTATTTAAATTTGAGGCAGTTCCTCAGAAATCCAACATAATGGGGAGCTAGAAGAGTGATACATCTGGAATATATGGTGGAAAAAATCAACAAAAAGATTTCATAAATTTCTGCTCTGTTCTGTTTGTTGTTTGTTATGGATTCATGGTGTAGACCAAGAAGGGACAGGTGAGGGGAAGGAAGGGTGACTCTGAGCAAAGTGTATGGAATCCAGTGCAACAAAACTGCCAACATCCAAGTTGCTGGAAATGAGACAGTCTCCTGGGTGTGGATTCTGTCCTTTTCCATCTGGACTTCTTAATAAATAGGAGCTAAGCAGCCCTTTGTGAGTGGAATGAAGGTGTAGAAATGCCTTTAGTTCTCAGCAGCTACAAATGCTGATGTAGTTGTAGGACACTCAAGAACCAAAGCAGGAACAGCTGCATGCCTGTTGGAAGGGTGTTTTTATCTGGCAACTGCTGATATTCTGCTATTAGTGGTTGAAAGAAATTTAGGACTGATTCAGTCATACCAGCCTTTGCTGAAGCTGAGATAAGAGGGAATTCACACCTCTAGGTGATATGGTGTTAATTGATAATTAACATAGGGAAGTAACAAGCAATCAACTCTGAAACACTGCTCTGCTCATGAGGGATAACCCCAGGGAGATCTTTGATTTCTGTGATCTCTGTGGCTTCTCTTCAACAGCCTCCCAACACTGGATTCTGTGGCTACTAATTTTGTTTCATTTATATATATATATATATATATTTACACGTGTAAATTTATGTATCCTAAAAGACATAGAAATACATAACGTGTAATAAAAATGTAAATGCATCTGCTCTGGATATCTTGAGGCTTCCCCAAGTTCTGTCAGATAGGATGCCATGTGACACCATGTGATAAGTACCTTTTACTGCTGCCTTGTGCTGGGTTGTGTTCAGGAGACAAGAGGCTTTCTTGTTACAAGTCTGCTCATGGCAGAAAAGAAATCATTGTACTAGGGCTGGTCAGTCATCTGTTGAAGATATCTGGCAATCAGCTTTTGAACCTTTAGGACTGTAGATTTTGGTATTTCCCCTCATTCACCTGAGGCCCCTACCCCCCAGCAGGAGCATCAATCACAGGAAGCCAGGCAGCCTGGACTGTTGAAATCATCAAAGCCATTCCTTGTTATGATCACCTCTAATCTGCTCAAGGTTTCCTAGCCTCATGTGTGTTTAATGAACAAATGACTACATTTGTTTAGAATCAAAACAACAGACTGCATATTGTGTGCTGGGTGGCAGGACAGTGATTAATCAGATTCTCAGACTGCAAACTGACAGCTTTTTTTTTAATTCCCACAGACCTTTTGAAGGGGAGAAACGAGGAGCTGAAACCAGATCATTACCTCCGTAAAAGCCCCTCCCTGGAATCCCTGAGCAAACCCCCAATGGCCTTCAGCAGCAGAATGCTTACCTCTACCCCCAGCAGCTTGAAACCCCAAAGTAAACTCAGGTACCAACTCAGTTTCCTGGGAAAAACAGCACACTGGAAAGACTGACAGCATTACCTGGCACCAGGATGAATATTTTCATCTGATGAAACCCTCTCTTCAGTCTGTCCAGTTCAGAATTACCAGGCTGTGTAAGATCCAGATGTCAACATTCAGATGAGAATACCACAATTACTTGTAAGGTGAACAAACATGACAAAATGAGGACAGCAAGATTCCAGGAGCCACTAAGGTGTATTCAAGAATTCCATCAAGTGGATGAGGGGTCAACCCTCCTTGTCTAACTGTAGTTCATAAGGGTAAAGTGAGCTAAAAACTGAAAGTTTGGAGGTCTAAGGGAAAGCTGGACACAATTTTCTTCTGTCTTAAGGAAAAAAAAATAAATTCCTCTGATCACCACCATTATTTCTAACAGCAGAAGCTGTAGGGTTGAGACAGTTCAGGTCTTTGACTGTTCTTTAACTGTCCTTCAGGCCTTGACTCTGCAGTACAGTTTCCAGATTTAATTCAAGAACTCATTCTGCAGCATCCTAATTGGATGTAAATTTGCTCTTACAGATTCTTTAGATATTTTATTTCAATTCTACACCCTAAATTGTAGTAAAGCAAAGAAGTTACTTGAAAATTTGGAAGTAAAGCTGTTCAAAATAATAGCAGAAGTTCTGGGTTAATTACAAGCCATGGAACACCCACAGGCTGCTGGGTTTTGAGCTCTTCTTGTGCAGTCATACCAACTGAATTTGTGTCATCCGAAGGCAAGTACAGAATGCAAGCTCTGAAAGCTACTAGTTTGATTTCCTTTTAGGTTCTGTGCTACCATTCTGCTTTGTCATACAGATATTATTGACACACTGGTAAAAAATAAGGATATTTATCTACTTCTCCTTTATGCTTCCCTGGATTAGTGTGGAGAGAAAGGACCCACTGGCAGCCCTGGCTCGGGAGTATGGGGGTTCGAAGAGGAATGCTCTCTTGAAATGGTGCCAAAAGAAGACTGAAGGTTACCAGGTAAGGGAATAGCTCCATTTTTGCTTTTCTCTGGTGAGGAATTCATCACTTTCCTACAGGTGTGCAGTAAGCAATGTCACTGTAAAGAAATCTGTGTTTTTCAGTCTGCTTGGTTTTGCGTGTTCACTTTTACTGAGTGTTCCCATCTGCTTTCTTCAGATTTCTTGAACACTGGAGTCCCAAGTATGACATTGTCATAAGTCATTTATGTACAAACCCCAAAATATTTACTGCATCAAAGGTTGCTGATGGTGAGAAAGAAAGTGTGTATGTGCAGCAGTTTCTATTTGGCATCAGGTTTTGAAATTATATTCTAATATTTTTTCTATAGGCTTCTGTGGGCAATGTGCTGTTGTGAGAGTTTTTTCATTGGTCATTTCTGTAAAACCAAAGGAATATTTATTTGTGTGGCCTTGGCAAAATGAAATTTTGCAGCCTGGGGCCCTGCTCTTTCCAATCTGCTGCAGTTTAATGGGATATTACAAAGCAAGTTTTGACAGCTTGAGAATGTCTTATTTATTTGCAGATGATCTTCAGTGTTAAACAGGCAAAATGATTTGTCCAGCTCTTGTATGGCCATTGCTGTGCTTATCAAGTTCTGGCTACTGTTTGTGTGCAGTCGTTAGGCCTTTGGTTCTGTGTGTAGCTGAGTTACAGAAGGCAATTGTAGACATCAGTTCATCCTGTGATATAGGCAGAGTGGGCAGGATTATCTTGGTTTGATATAATGGTGAGATTTTTCTTTAAGAATAATATTGTTTGTTACTTGGAGCAGAAGACAAAAGCAAAAGTTATCACCACATGATATGCACCCTGGAGCAAGTCTTTAATGAAAGCAGAGTCCATCTTTTAAAGTAAATAATAAAGTATTTTATTTTCTTCACAACCAGCTCTTTGTGAAGCATTAGCTGCAGGGTGCAAGAGTTTGAAAGAAAAGAGAGTTGCTTTCCCTTCAAGTAACTGATCTATAAAACTTTGAGTAATTTCTTAGCACTGGCATTTTCATCTGACTCACACCAGTTTCCCAGAAGGGCAGGTAGGAGAGAGAACTCTTGAATTAAGACACACCTTAGAAAGTCCAAAGCCAGGGTTTAACCTCCAGTTCTGTGAAACTGCCTAAAAGGCTGCAGTGCTCAGCCCTGAAGCTGTAAATTTTACACTGGGTTGATGTATTTTATATCTCATCTACTGAAATTCTCCTGTCTTGGGTTTGAAGGTGTGGGGTGACATTCCCATCCAGTCCTCAGAAAATGATCCATGTAATATGACTTTTTCAAGTCTAACTTCTGTTAAGCCAGCAAGCCCATCTCTGGAGTGACATGTTTTCCTGACAGTGGTGCCCTTCTCTGTTTCAAATGGCAGATCTGGTGAGCTTCCTCTGCTCCTCCAAAACCAACCTAACTAATGAGTTAGAAGTATTCTCTGAGAGTCAGTCTGTAGTTTACACTCTGATTACACCCACATTGAACTAAATGTGTTGCTTTTAGAAATCATGATGTGTCTTGGCAAAAATATAGGGGCCTGTCCATCCCAGGCTGGCACCAGGAGTAAGAAGTGTTGCCTCTGTGACAGAACAGAAAGGGAGTTTTGTTTTTCTCGGCTGAATCTCTGCTGACTGTAGTAGATAGCAGGCCACCCAGGAGGCATGCAAGGCTACCCGGGTCTGTTTGTTGTTCCTTTTACTATTAGTCTCTGGGGGAAAGTGTGTCCATGCTTCAGCAGACAGTGGAAGTCTTTGCTTTAGATATGGCTGCTGGGGTGTTGTTGCTGTGGGACTGACCAGATGATGCTTCAGAAAAAGCTTTGTTGTTTGGGTTCCTGCTCTGTTGAGGCTCTTGTTATGTTCATGCTGTCCTGTGTGGTTGCTCTTCTAAAGCAGCAGAATGAGTTTTCAGCAGTTACTGAGATCAAGCAGGTAAAGGACTAACAAACATACAGTGATCCAGGAGAGTCTGAGAGGTTCGGGCTGTGATGTGTAAGGTTTCAGGGAAGAAATTCAAGTCAGATGAACCAAAGGCCAAACACGGTACTGATTTATGGTGGCAGTCTTGCCTCTCTGTCTTCACTGCTTCATTCAGAGGCTTTATCTCTTGGACAAGCTTCCTCAGGCTCTTATTCCCATTGCAGTCTGTGTTGCACTCACTAGCTCTGCTAGAACTTGCTTTTCCCAGATCCTTGTTCTCATACGATAAGGCTGATGTTTTAGCTCCACAGGGAGTTTTGTCATTCTTGAGTACAAAGAACTGGAATGGAGTAAAGAACGTCACCCTCCTTCCTGCCTCAGCCCCTGCAGTGGTGGGAATGAGGTAACCAGCTCCATCAGGCAGAGCCCTGATGATGTGCATGATGACTTTTCCATGGATAATACCTGTGTCCATGAGGCATCATCTGTTCAAATTCCTGTATAAGCTGTCATGTTCTTTCTGCCATAAAGCCCAGAACCACTGATAACTTTGGTTGCAAATTGTTTTCATCTCCATGACAGAGTGGAATGAGAAAATAAAAGACTTGCTGCTTGGCTGCCTGGCTTCTTTTTTCACTGGCAGAATGTCCTGCCTTTGAGGTCTGGTCACAGGTCCTGATCTGAGCTGGTCAGGAAGAGGAAGATTCCTTTCTGTTTCAGTGATGAAGACACCAGATTTCATTAAGCAGCATGATCAAAGTGGATTAGAATAACCGATACTCTCAGTAGCAGCTACTGTTACCCATGTCCCAGATTGCCTGAGAAAAGCTGGATTAGTGACCTAGGAACTTACTGGGATAAGACCTGGGGGCCAGCACACAAGGCTCCACTTTTTAAATGTTTTAATCCTTACAAGGCTTATACTATAGATAGAAATTTACATTCTGCTCCTGACATACATCCTTGCGTTGACTACAGTGGGAACATTCCTTGGCTTTGAACTCCAGTGTGTGCCCCAGGAGGCAATCTCATAAAACAAGAGAGGGACACTGGAGAGAGTTGAGTGAAGTGCAGCACAAATTAGTAGTGGCCTGGAGGGTTTTGCTTGTTTTTTTAAAAAAGAACTTTCATGATTTTACAGTAGCTGAGGGGAAACAGGAAGCCTTAGGTTCTGTAATCTGCTGTGTCACTTCTAAGATCCCTATTTAAACAGTGATTTGATATAAAAAAATATATGAATGCTAAGGAGAGCTCAGAATGCTAATTATTTAGAACATGAAAAGAGAATCACTAGAATGGAAATAAAGTGGAACTTCAGTTTAATAACTAGGAGAAAAGAGGATGAAAATGGGATTGCATAACCTGTGGCATGATCGTTCGTATCATTTCAGTTGTCATATTTTAATGCCTAGATTAATGTTTCCTAGTATTTTGGCCACTGATTTTTAGTAACTAGACAGGGGAGGTGGTAAAAAAGTTTCAGCAGTAAAAAGAATTGTAGTGAAATAAGGCTTTGGGCTCATTGGCTCTGTGCAAAACTTCCTGGAGGAAAATATCTGTTACAAAAACCCAACCTTAATCTAATGTATGGTTTTCTGTAAAAGTTGTGCAGTGGCACGTCATCTCTTTTGCCAGACTGTTCCTTTTGCCTTTCTGAGTTTGTTGACATCATGGTGTATAATGTAGGGTGATGGGATGACCAGACTTGAGAACTGCTTCTGTGGCTCTGGAACTCAATTACTACAAGTCCTTTAAACCACAAAGCCTGCTGAGAGCAAGTTATTTATGTTAAAATAGCTTTTTCTCTGTCGTCTTGTGGTTGGGGTTTTATTTTTCATCTATTTAAAAAGATTATACATCATAGCAACAGTGTGAAGTAGACAATGGGTGCCTCTTTTCTAACAGGCTCTGTTCCCATGAATCGTAACTCCTGGAAGGTGCTGAGAGTCATTCTTGTTGCATTATCACCTTCCATAATCATATCATTAGTGACTGTGGTGTTATTTAAGTGCCCTGGTTCTGTTTGCTTTCTGTGGAGAACATTTGTCAAGGGGCCAAGCCTCTCTAGATTGAGCCCATTACTATCCACAGATGTATTGTGGAAACACAGAACATCAAGAGGCACTTAACCCATGATCAGTAGAACTGAGGATTGTTGTTTCTGCCACATACACCCTCTCCAGAGAGGGGAGGGAATTGCTACCATGGTAATGAACATGATTTGCTTAAAAGAACTGTTTTCATGTATTTTTCCATACACATTCATCCTGTGGAACAGAGGAGAAGTGAATCTGAGACCAGATGTTTTCTCCAGTGCACAATCATGATTATTCTTGTTATCAAAGTTGTACTTGGTTTAACAGGATCCATTTGGGATCCACTTGTTGAAGATCCACCATCTTTTATGGTGAAGCTATTTGTGCAGTTGTCATGGGTAGAGGAATGCTAAATGGGAAGAGACAGTACACCAGCTTATGGATAAAGGCAGTGGGTATCTTCAGGAGAAGAGGCAGCACTGACACCAATATGAGATGGCTGATAAACTGGGTTTGGTCTTATTGGTATTTGTGGGACTAGCATCAGATTCAATTTCATACCATCTGGAGGAATCTCAACAGCATAGAGTAACTGACCAGAGTAATCTTTATGTAGCTTTCATGTTACACTTCAGTTTCATGTTGTACAAGTAGCTCCTGGATAAAATAATTCTTTTTAATTATTCTGCATAAAATATGCTAGCAACTACGAGCCAAGCTAGAAGAAAATGATTTATTTGTTTCCATGCCTTATTTGGAGTTCTTTGACTTTGTGGTAGGTCCCAGACACCCTGTGCAGTTTTAGGAAGTATGCTTAGGGGTATGTTGGAGCTGTTTTTAGGGTGATACTCTGACATTCTATTATTTAGTCTAAATTAGCAAAATACTGTATGCCCAACCATTCAGAATATTTCCCTCAAAAGTTGTGAATATGTATTTTTTAAGCTTCCTTTTATGAAGACAAAGATAATTGTAGGTCTCTGATGAAGTATCCTGATGGAGGCTGCATCTATAGTTTCCAGAAATATACATTGTCACTAAGAGGAGTCTAAATACTTCAA